AGTGTGTGGGTGTATTGCCTTTTATAAAATATTTATCCTCATAAATTAAAATTAGGACCTAGAGGCATCAAAAGTATTTTTGTTGGTTATGCACAGAATTCAAAAGCATATAAACTTCTTGATTTAAATATTAGTGTTATTGTTGAATCTATTCATGTAAAATCTTTTGAAAATAAGTTTATATGTAATATTAAAATTAATATGGAGAAATAAATTGAAAAGATTCCTATGACTGGAAATAAAAAAAAAAGTAATGATTTTATTGAACTTAGAAGAAGCCAAATAACTAAAAAAAAACTTTTATATTATGATTTTGTTTCTCCAGATTCTATTGTCTTCCTAGTAAAAGAAAATAAAATCAAAATACTTAATAAAACACCAATTCTACTAAATTTAGATGAAGACCCTAAAACATTTAATAAAGCTATGACTTGAAGAGTGTTGCTTTTTGGAAAGAAGCTATTAATGATGAAATGGACTCAATCATGTCCAATAATACATAGGTTTTAGTAGATTTACCTTTAGGTTCTAAACCTATAAGATGTAAATGCGTATTTAAAAAGAAATATAATACAAATGGTTTTGTACAAACTTTTAAAATAAGATTAGTTGCAAAAGGTTTTAAACAAAAAAAGGCATAGATTATTTTCAGACATATGCTCCAGTAGCTAGAATAATATCCATTAAAGTTCTTATAACTTTGGCTTCCATTTATAAATTGCATGTGCATCAAATAGATGTTAAAATGGCCTTTTAAAATGGTGACTTAAAGGAAGAAGTATACGTGGAACAACCATAAGGTTTTATTTTTCCAGGTAATGAGAATAAAGTTTGTAAATTAATTAAGTCATTTTATGAGCTAAAGCAAGCTCTTAAACAATGGCATGAAAAGTTTGGTTCAACCATATTAGCCAATAGTTTAAAATATAATAGAGTAGATAAGTGCATTTACTCAAAATTTACTAAAGAATATGGAGTTATAATGTCTCTATGTGGATGATATGCTAATTTTTAGTACTAATATGATTAGCATAAATGAAACCAAAAAGTATCTGATTTCTAATTTCAAAATAAAAGATTTAGATGCCATTTTGAAAATTAAAGTTAAGAGATATAACATATTTAATTAAAGTCATTATATTAAGAAATTGGTTAATAAATTTAATTATCTTCATATAAAAGAAGCCAATACTCTATATGATATAAGTATAAAATTAACAAAAAATCAAGGTTATGTAATTGCACAACTTGAATATGCTAGTGCTATTGGAAGTATTATGTATGTTATACATTGTACTAGGCTAGATATAGCTTTTATTGTTTGCAAGTTATCAAGATATATAAATAAACCTAGTATAAGTCATTAAAAAGTCATAGGAAGAGTTCTAGGTTATCTTAAAAAAACTAAAGATGTTGACTTATTTTGTTCCAGATATCCAGCTATTTTAAATAGATATTCAGATGCAAGTTAGATCACAAGTATAAGTGATAATAAATCCAATTCAGAATGGATATTTACTCTTGAAAGTGGTGTAATTAGTTGAGTATCAAAGAAACAAACTTGCATTTTACATTCAACTATGAAATTTAAATTTATAGCTTTAGCTACAGCAAGCAAGAAAGCTGAATGGCTAAAAAATTTATTAATGGATATAAAATTGTGACCATAACCAACGACATGTATTTTCTTGTACTGTTATAGTGAAGTTACTATATCTAGAGCTCATAGTGAAATTTATAATGAAAAATCTAGATATATTAGTTTAAGACATGATTATATAAGAAAAGTGATAAAAAATGGGATAATTACCATAATATATGTTAAATATACTAACAACTTAGCATATACTTTTACCAAGGCACTATTTAGAAATTTGGTAAGAAGCACTACAAGTGAAGTGGGTTTAAAATTCCTTTTAGACAATAATAATGAGAACCTAACTTTGAATTAGTAACCTCTAATTGTAAAGTTTAATAGGTAAAAATAAATTATTATTATGTATCTATAAACACCAGTTAACCCATTCTAAATATTTAAAATACTAGTGTAAGCCATTGTGTAAATGAAAGATGGGATTAAACACTTAGTGAAGTCTATAATTAAATGTCTATAGCAATGGAGACATAAATAAGAAACTTCACCTATATAAAAATAGAAGTGGTCTCGCTTTAACAAGAAAATTAAAAATTTTTGTGTAAATGTTTATGAATAAGGATAAGCATATAGCCATAATAGTGCTAAAGCGGTTATAAACCTCTGAAAAAATATTAAATAAGTATTATGTATGTTATATCTTCAATTTTAACACTAGAAGTTGAGGTTTAATTTACGAATACCATTAACTTTGTTAGAATTCTAAGGTATATATACTAATTAAAGGTTTAAATCAAAAGATACATTCTTGTATTCATAATATTTATTTGTGTTAAAGGTTAAAGATTAAGTACCAACATTCCAAACTAGTGAAGGATTATTGGTAGTTTAAAATGTGATGCATCCCACATTGAGTAGAAAGATTCGTTATATGTAGTTTAAAAGTGATAACTTATGTTATTTAAGTAATTGAGTTAAGTGTTGGAGTGGGCCAAGTCATTTGGGCTTGTTAGGAGTTTTTCTAATGGGTTAAATAATTTTAAAAGTCAAAGGTAGACATTTGGGCTTTTTAGTAAATAGATTTAATTTTTAAATCTTTTATTTTTAATTTTGAAATATTACTAAAATATTATTTTTATTCTTAATAAGCATATTTAAACATAAAAAAATATGATGGTTCGAATAATCATATTTAAACAATAAAATATAACTATACAAAATGTCATGATTTTTTAAATTGGCTTATTTTGTGACTATTTATTTATTATAAGTAGATCTTTCTGCCTGACCAATTTTACTACTTCTGATTTGGAGAGTTTTTTAAGGTTTTGTTGTACCCTATAGGTCTTTAAGATAGTATTCTTCATGCTTCTAAGCCATATTTTTTCTTTCTTATTATTTTTGTTTTCTTAAATTTTCTAACAATAACATATAAACAAATATAAATATATTTATTTTTAATATAACTTACAATTTAAGTATATATAATATAGGTGTTTTTTTTATTAAATCAAGATATTAAATAATATTTTTATTAATATAATTCATATATATAAATATCTATTAAATAAATAATAAAGTATATATTTTTATATATCCTAATAAGGGTCAGAGTAGAATACCTCAAATTCAATCATAACTTGAAACAAATTGTTCAAAGAAGTAAAACTTAACCAATTTTTATTTTTTAAAAAAATTGTATCAATTAGATTATGATATAATCTGTTTTATTGTCCTTAGATCCATTGATTTTTTTTTTTACAAGATTTATCTAATAAATAAAATTTTAAAAACAATGAAAATGACAAAAAAAGCCAAATGGGATGGCATATAAATTTTTATTAAATTAAAACATTAAATAATATTTTTAATAATATATAAATATAGAAATAAATAAATAATAAAATATATTTTTTATGTATACCACAGCTAAGGTGTAACAATCAAAATCTTTCTCTGAATTAAGATCAATTTAAAAAAAAAATTCAATCTAATTATCTCGAATTAAAAAAAATACATCAATTGTATTGGAGCAAATCGAAATCTATCGAATACAAATTATTTTGTCATTTCTATCTTAATTGATTTTTTTATTACAAAATTCATCTATTAAAAAAATATAAAAAAGAATAAAAGAAACAAAAAAACAAAAGCTTAAAAAGAAAAGAAAATGAAAAAAATGGCGAAAGGTGCCATGTAAACACTTGAGATGAGGTGTAACATTTTAAGTCCATTTCTAACTTGATTCCTTTTAAAAAAAATCTCAATTCAGTCTCAATTTTTTTAAAAATGCATTTTACGGTGGATGAATGCAAGTCAAAACCAATAGAATAAAATTATTTCATCATCATTACCTCTATTGATTTTTTTTTTATAAAATTTATCCAATAAAAATAAAAAATAAATAAGTAAAAAATAAATTTAATAAAAAATAAAAAGTAAAGAATTGGAAAAAAAGGATAAAAAAACCCTTAAACTAAATTTCAATAATTATTTAAGCTCATATTATTTTTTTTACAGTTAATTAAACTCATATCTATGTTCATCAATTGAGTTTTATTGAAAGAAAAATGATTAACTGTTATAGTCCAATTAAGGATTCAATTGAGCGAAAATAGATGTATAAAATTTTAATTAAATAAAAATAAATATTTAAGGATTCAATTGATTTAAAACAGGAGATTTAGAATTTGATTAATTATAATAAAATGTTTAAAACTTAAATGATTATTAAATTTTTGTTTAAAAGTTTGTTTTTGAACGTTATTTTTATTATATTTTTTAATAAAATAATTTTAGCAATCATTGATGATTGAACCTACGAGATCAAAGCCCAAACAAGAAGCCCAACAAGAATGAAAGAGAGTTGGGCCTACATGGGCCACATGAAAATCCCAACTTGGACTGGACCCACTAAAAATTAAAATTAAAATCTCATTTTAACCGTTTAAAAGCGGTTTTCCTACACGGCGGTTTATGGTTTTCTTTTTTTGAAATTTGAAATTCGAAATTCTTGATCGTTTGATGATCCGCCCTTCCTCTTTCTAGGGATGGCGCGTGGGCCCCACTTCCAGCTCCCTCTACCGTTTAAGTTTCTCTGTTCAATCGCTCACATCTTACTTCATTCAAACCCCACTGCGAACGGTACTTACAAATCTTACTCTCCCCATTAGTGAACACGTGTACAATTAAACTGTCGTTGCAGCAGAGTTTTTTATATTCAAGCAAATGAGAAAAAGACACGTCAGAAGATGAGCCTGATTAGGGACAGGTGTCGGATAAATAAAGCGAGTAATTGACAGATAGGATTTTTTTTTGTTGCTTAAATTTTCCCGCCCGGAAGACAGTATTCAAAAGGACAGCAGTGAATCATCTTAAGGCTGCTTTTGAAAAAAGAAATGCTTATAAAATCCGAACACAAGTTCTGGTTTGTTTGAAAAGCAAGATAGGATTTTTTTCTGTTTGAGAAAATCTTCAAAGACCAAAAAGAAAAATGGAACCTGTCAAAGAACAACAACCTCCTGCTCAAATTTCTGGTTCGTTTCTGCCTCAATTTCTCCACGTTCCCTTGGCATTTTTAAAGGTGGTTTCTTTTGGTTTTAAATTTTGTTTTCGGGATAATTTCAGGTAAGTCGAAACTACGTTATCCACTTCGATCTTCGATGAAATCAAAGGAGGAGAAGCCACCGGCGGCTGATTTATCCAATTCTTCTTCATCCAGAAGGTATTCAAATTCTTATAATTTGCAGTTCATTTTTTGTCTCCGCAGAATTTAAACCATGTTCTTTCAGATTTAAAATGACATAATAAATAAAATTTATGTACAGAAAATAAGTAGGTGTGGAATAGCTGAAAGATTTTGGTCAAATTAAGAAATCAAGTTAATTTTCAAGGTTTCTTTTTTTTTTTTTTTTTCTTTTCTGCGAGGAAATATAAAAGGTTGTTTTTGAATAAGACTAATCTTTTTCTTTGAAGGATACACAAGTTTTTAATCTATAATTCCTTCTGATTTATAGGTTTTTGGATTGCCTTTTTAAGGGATTGAAAATCTGATTTCCGGGTTTATTGGCAAATAATTGCATGTATATGATTTTGGGTTTTATTTGTTTGGCCTTCACAGGGGGAGGGCAACACCAAGTGTATGCAAGAGTGTGGGTGTTCTTGATCTTTCCAAGGAGAAATCTGCCAAGCCACCCAGAAGGCTCTCTATTCCAACCAAATCAACTATCACTCCATCTTCAAAATTAGTTGGGACAATCACACCTATATCTGAGGCTAGAGCCAAGAAATCTACAAATGGCCAGGGAAAAAGTGACACGCCTCTTTCTGATGCTTCTAGATCAGCAACTCGAAGGCGGTTCAGTATGCTGTCATCAGCATCATACTGGCTGCGGCAGATTAAGCTCTCTGAATCAGCTTCTATGCACTCAGTCTCACTTGGGTTTTTCAAACTTGCCTTAGAAGCTGGATGTGAGGTATGCTAGTTCATTTGTTTCTCCATTTCACTTTGCATGCTTGTGCTTGAATTGGGGTTTATTGGATAGCTGCATCAAAAGTTCTTGCTTAAATTATCTCAGGTTCATGTTATTGTATCATCCTTTGTATTTGCGAGAAGTTCTTTGCATCAAATTCAATCATATCTCTGTTTTTGTTCTAATCTCATTATAACTACAAATCCAGCCGCTTCAGGAAATGCGTGATGAGCTTAAATCCTATGTACGTCGCCATAATCATGTTGAAAATGGGGAAGCTATAAAGGAACTACTCGAAAGCTACAATGTTTCAGAAAATTCAGATCAACCACAGGTGTCTGAAACCTGTTCTCAGGTGCCTGAAGAGGGGACTCGGTCATCTGATGATGAGATTCACAGTGTTTCTTCTGCAGTGGGATCTAGGAAACTTAAACCCAAGTCCTTGAATACTGATGCTGGTCAAGTATCAACAGTAGCCGAATCAGCGAAAGAGGCTACTCCGAAGAATAATCCTGCAACCAGGAATAGGGTTTTGAATAAGAATAGTTCAAACTCAAGGTCTGTTTCAGACACTGGGAGTCGCAAGTTACAGAAGAAAACTCAGAAAACAACCAAGCCAGAGCCTGTTAAAGGAAAGGATAAGACCAAGAGACAGGAAACCAAATCAGCTAGTGAACAAGGCGAGTGTGTAAGATAAATTTTAGGTTCAGCATCTATGCCTTACTTTGACTTATATGCATTTGTAATGTTATTTACAGGTCAAGTTAGCCCTTCGGCTGCAGTTGAGACTGTTGAAGAGGACAAAGAAAATATGGTAAAAATTCTTCCTTCTTGCTAATATATTGAGCTTCACTGACTATTGACTATTATATTGAGCTATCCTTCACTTACTGGCCTACAAATTTGCAAGGTTTCAAAAAGTTTGGTAGGGCAATAATGATGCCTGATTTCTATTCCCATGCCACTAATTATTTGATAAAGTTGATGTTAATTCACGCAATCTATCGACAATTCTGGCCTTCTTCCTTTTCAGGATGCGCCTCTGACAGAAGAAATCAGCGTGACTGAAGTGATATAGGTAGTATTCTTCAAAAAAATATGTTGAACCATATTAATTTCATCCTCTATTGGGTTCTTCGTTGTCTATTTTAGGTTGTTTGATGGGGTTAAAGTGAAGTGTTCCAATCTGGTGTGAAGTCAAGACCTTTTGGTTTTTTTTATCTTGGGTTGTTGCTTTAAACTGGGATTTTGTCACTTGAGATGCAAATTGTCTCAAATCATTGAAGTTATTTGTTGTTATATTAATGTTATATTAATCTTTTCAAGGATATGATTGACACATATCGACTTCAAAATTTTCAAGAAATGCGTATCGAACAGCGATAACATCAAAATCAACCAGAAAAATGAATTTGGTATCCTTGAAACTTCATAAAATATAGTATTACAGGGAGAGCTATGTCGTCCTAGTAATCAAAGAGAGGGTGATGAGGAGGATTAAAGCATAGGTAGAGAGCCATAAATTTGAGTATTTATAATTTATTTTTTGATTTTTAAACTGCAACATTTTTATAAAAAAAATAACTACAGAAAAAAAAAAAAACTATTTCTTTGATATGTAAACCTCCTGAAAAATCGACTTCTTTCTTTGTTGAAGCTTCATGTGCTAACATGATGAGTTGGGCCAACATTTCACATAACATGTCCTGCTTGGGCTACCTGTGTCCGAAATTTAGTTGAGGTTGCATCGCCAACATTTATCTGACGTCTGCTTGCTTGTAATTTCATGTTCTTTTTTTCCTTTTGATGGGGAACATACGATTTCATTCACTCATTTCCAGTTTTCCACAACTAGTATCAGCTGCAACACCTTAAAACATGATTTATGGAATGCTATGCTGACTAAGATCTCTCCATTGATTCAATATATTCCTTTTCTTTTGATACGAGGAGAAAGAGGGAATTGAAACTTGAATCTGAAGCCAAATCCACCAAGAGCTGGTTTCGTGCAAGTTGAAGACAAGTCAAAACTGCATTAAGTTCAGCTTTAATTTGAAAATACAACCATTCGCAAAACCAAACAGCACTCATTTTCCATCACTATCACAGAAAATACCAACAGTTGGTAACTCACCTGAATTTTCAACCATTGAACCATCAACGTTAAGCTTGAAATGACCTGCCAGGGAAGACCAAGCAATATAGCATAACTTTCTTGATTTTGGATGCCGATCTAACAGCTTTATATCTCATAAAATCAAGGATAAGAATTGAAAAACGTGCACGTGTTTCATAATATGGTCAATGAAAAACTATTATCCTGTGATGTTTAAGAATGAGAATTTGCCTCTTCTTATCCTTTCATCATGTTGCACCATGCTTAAAGACCCATGCCATAAATCAACAACTTGCAGCTTATGTCTCTTGCATTGAGGACTCAACTGTAAGTCAAAAAATTGAAGGCCATTCATGCAGTTGAGCTTGATCATGCAAAACCATGAAAATGGTATGCATGTTGGAATGTAAAAAATCGGGTATAATTTATATATTCAGGTTCGAATTGCCATTTTCCAAGTGATTTGTGAGAGCTTATGGCTTAGTCAATGAATGACATTTTCCTTCTCCGGCTAGCTGGATAATTAGCAGGTTGTAAATCATGACCAAATAAATTTGTGGAAAAACCAATCTTGTACTTCAACTTTCCACGCCTCCCCGTCCTTATCTGTGAGAAGAAAATTTCTTTAACTGTACATTATTATTACATTTCAATTAGGACTTATGAACAACATCCTTAATAGAAATATTCAAAAAAATAAAAAAAAAAACCAAGATCAATTGCTGTGATTTCTAGAATCACCAGGTGATGCGGATGCACTCTTGGGCGTTGTAAATGGCAAAGAAGACGGTAGAAACATCAAACTCCCAGGCTGTGAACTAGTCGAAGGAGATTTGTTCAAGAAGCTTGAGGCACAGCCATTCCCTTTCACAGTTTGTGAGTAACTAGAAGCCACTGGAAATGTCTGCTCCCCACATTTCAACTTTTGTGCCAAACTCTCTCCAGCAGGCTGAGTTACACCCCCATTATTGCCAGCGCCAATGATTGATGTGAGAGCCGCTGCTAAAGCAGATTGGAAATTGGGGTCTGCTGTGATTGCTTTGGTTGCAGCAGCGATTGTATCCGTGGGTAGAGGCTGTTGAGGAGGATTTAGATTATTCTTTTGAATGAAGGATTGATAAATGCTATTCTCCATGGCCGGCGGTCTTCCAATGTTCAGAGCTCCAATTTGGTTTTTCATGTAGGGTTGAGTACTTCCATAGCTAAGGAGCCCATTGCCCCAAGACATGGTGTTGGATTCTGAAGAACCAAAGCTGAGACTTGTAGAAGGATATCTTGCGGTTGTGGGATGAGCTGAAGAAAACCTATTGAAAGGAAATGATGAGGATGATGATGGTGTTGAAGTCAGGTCCAGAGTGATTGTTGGGTGTGATGAGGCAGCCGATAGTGAAGAGTTGGGCAAGTAAAACTTCGATTTTGAGTTATCAGATAGATAAAAGTTGAGTCCATGGAGATTAGCAGGAATGGTGTTGGAAGTTGGTGGAGCATTGGAGCCAGGCTGTGAGCTCGATGATGAACCAGACAATAGCATTGAAGCAGCTGCAGAAGTGGTGGAAGCCATTGCGGTGGCTGACATTGGAAGTGGATGATTGTGTGTTCCTTCATAGGTTGTGATTAAGATGGACATGTCCTCAGCACATCTTTGCACCTGATGAAATTGCAAACAAAATAACGTGTTAATGAAGAAGAGAGGAAAAAAATAGTTTTAACATGGTTTATGGCGTTTAATTGCTAGCTAAAACCATAGATGTAAGATTTGGTTGTGATAAAGTTGAGCTTAACAACACTTATTTGAATATATGTACCTGTTTTCTCACTGGGCATGAAGGTGCAACAGTGCAACGATAATATGCTCGAGGGCAAGGATTTCCTTTAGCAATCTTTTGTCCATATTTCCGCCATTGGCATCCATCATTCATCTGTGCAAATGAAAAGTTTTCTTATAGTTTTTACTAATTTCATGCTAAAAATTAAATAATGACGCTTCATTTTAACCATGGATTACAAAAGAATTAATGCACTAAACTGACTAGTGACTAGGCTAAAACCCTGGTTTCCTCTGGCTTCGTGATATCAATTAACTATTCAATTATCTTCTTTTTTTTTTTTCCTAAGGTTGAGTTCTTAGATTTCATTTACTATATCATTTTTTCAGGTCCTTTAAACAAATTTATTTATATTAAACTTAACAAATTTATAAAAATTTACCTTTTCACAACTTTTCGGATCTCGAAGCAATCAAGAGAGAAAGTGACGCCGATCATTTAAGCCAACATCAATTGATCTATTCAATTAACTATTGTTATATTTGATTGATGCTTTTGTTATTTATTTTTTTCTTTTTTTAAAAGATAAAAGACAAAAACGAAAAAGAAAAAAACCTATCAAACAGATCTTAATGAATGTAAATGACTAAAACTAACCGTAGGAGTATCGCATCTGGCTCTTACGCAAACCCTAGCTTTCTTGACAGGGTTTTGTTGTAAAGCTTCATCATCTCCGCTTCTAATTGTCTTGAGAACTTTGCTCGGTGGCCAGGTCTCTTCTTCCTTCGGTTCCTGAGAACTGTTTGCTGGGCTTCGATTTGGCAGAGCTTCATCATCTGTATCTGATTTAGAAGCTACAAATTTGTAATCTAGGCCAAGAGATAAACCTTCTTTGCCTCTCTCCTCCTCTTTTCCTTGGCCAGATGTTCTCTTCTTATCATCTTTTCTTGAATCACTTGAAAATCTTCCAAGGGTAAGAGAAACAAGCTCAAGTTCTTCAACTTCTTGGTGGTCATTATTTGTTGTAGCTGTGGATTTCTTTGCATCTGGTCGAACAATGTCATAGAATTGCATTTGCAGGTTCTGATAATCCTTCATTATCCGATTTAAGTACATCTTTAGTCTTTGATTTTCTTCTCTAACCTCTCCCATCTCAGCTTTGGCAGATTCAAGTTGATCATCCTATATCCATGACATACAAAGAAAACTGATGAATTTAACCAAACATATAGTATTCTTATTGCATATGCATGTGACATTAATTTTTTTCCATTAAACTTTCCCAAGAATTATTCCCTTTTTTGTTTGCAATTCCTAGATGCTGATATTTCCATGCATGCATGTGTTCAATATATAACCAGATCAATCATTTCTTGATTTATAACTATTATGATGAAAAATAGGGAAAAGAAATGTCTGATTGAAATAATGTAATAATCCAATTTCATATAAATACAGTTGACTAATATTATATTAACAATAAAAAATTAAAGTCTTTTTTAACGAAAATTTTAATACCTTTGTTAAAGATTAGACCATATAAATCGAAATAAAAGATGAAAGTAATCTAACCTGCTCCTTTCGACTTGAAGAAGATGCCATCGAGTAGTCAGGTTCTATGCTTGAGAATCTTTCGGTATCAGTTTTTACAGATACCTATTTAGTTAAGCATTATAATTATAAGTTAGCAGAAAAGAAATATTGAAAGTTAATTATTAAAAACGTACATATGTGTGTAGAGAGAGAACACAAACCAGGAGTTTGCCTACTCTTTAACCTAGCAAGCTAATCTTTCTATATATACTGAATTGAAAAGAGGAATTTCAAGAGAGTTATAGTAACCTGCCGATCTTTATATATAGCAAATTAAGAAGCTTGAAATCTAGAAATAGAAAATGAATTGGAAAAGTAATGGCAAGAAAGGTGTCTGATAACTTCTCCATTCAAGAGTCTAGAGAGCGTGTTTCCGGAGCATAATTATGGTCAAAATCTCACAAATCAAGGTTTTAAAGGAAAAAAAATTTGTTGAAACAAACTGATAGTCAAATAGGCATGCATGACTTTTATAGATCAGACAGATTATTCCTTTCAGAACCAATATTGCTCTATTAATCCAACAGGTCGTGGTTAGCTGTTGAAGTGTGTTTCTCTGGGATTTCAAGAAGGAGGTGGTTAGCTGTTTGTGGTGCCACTTTCTGGTCGTTATGGCTTGTTAGGAACGAAGCTGTCTTTAATAAGAAGAAATGGGTTGGTGAGGAAGTACTGTTTCTAATCAAGCTGAGGTCGCTACATCGGATTAAAGCCATAGAAGGATGTCCTGTTTTGGAAGAATGCATTTGGTGGTCTGCCCCAACAGAGTCTGTTTCTGGTGTCCCTATTATTAATATGAGATCTGGGATGGTGCGGGAGTGTCCAGGTCGTACTAAGTTAAATTTTAATATGGACGGTTTTGCTCTTGGCTCCCCCGGTTTGGCCGGATGTGGTGGTATGTTGAGAGATGAGGAAGGTTTCATTCTTGGAATTTTCTATGGCCCCTTTGGTATTAAAACTTCAAATTTTGCTGAGATTTTTGCTATAAAAGAAGCCCTTTGCAATGTTCTGTAAATCCCCTGGGTTAAGACCAAAGATCTTGTGGTGAATCTGATTCAAAAGTGGTCTTATTTTGGGTTGTCAATATGGGTACCCGACCTTGGAAGGAGTGGCAAATTCTGAATGAAATAGACAGACTTAAAGCTGAGATTGGAAGGTTTGATTTTGTTCATACTTTCGGGGAAGCAAACTTTTTCCAGATGCTTTGGCAAAACTAGGACCTAACAGGCTGGATATGTTTTACGGTTGGTTTTTGATAAACTTTCTTTGTTGTATTATCAATATCGGCCATGTGTTTCTCTTCGGACTGCTAGCGTAACATCCTATTCTTGAATAAAGTTTCATTTGTTGGCAGAGAAAAAAAAATCCAACAGGCTGTTTTCTTGTACAATTTGTAGAATTCATTACCCAATATATATAGGTTGTTGATTGGTGAAATGTCCCACAGTAAACTAGCTAGGACCACAAATATTATTCCTTTTGGATAATGTAGAAATATTTATTTATTTTTTTTTGGTGATCTTAGAATGAATATATAGATGATGTTGTACAAATATTAATATTTTAACTGTCCATTTATTTTTTTAACACATCAAGTATATTTTATAAATAATAATTAATACATTAATTAAACAAAATTTGGTTTCTTTAGTTTCATGTTACACAATATGTTCTATTAAAAGAATCACTTAGGGTGCAGACTCCCTTGCTAAATTGGGACTTCATAGAAACTAATATTTTCTGGCCTGGATATAGTCTTGTATTTCTGTTAATAATAAAATTCCTTTTTAACTTAAAAAAAAAACTACTTAGGGTGTGTTTGATTTAATTTTTAATGATTTTACTTTTTTAATATGATTTATGTTACACGTGAATGTCATGTATAGTTATAATAATGAAAAATAATAAGTTTATGATCATGATTTGATCAATCTCCAATTAATTAACATTTAAAGTACAAAGACATAAAATATATGCATGTAAAAAAAATTTTCAAGTTTTATTATAGTGCTATAATTGTAATGCAAATAACATAAAAATGTAATTTAATTTTCAAAATATTTTATTAATTCTATGTTGAACTTATGCATTACAATTATATTTTATTAATTTAATTTTCAAAATATTTTATTAATTCTATATTGAACTTATGCATTTACTTTAAAGTTTGTAGACATGCATATTAATTGACAATTGGTTTTTTGTATGTTAAAAACACCTTTTCATTAATTTCTATTTGAATAAATATATTTAATTAGATTTCAACCTGTATTTAAGTCGTTTCAAAAATCAAAATTAAAAAAAAAAATGGATATGTTTTAGCTTGTTAAAGAATTTAACTTTATGAAGAAAATTTCTATCCATACATAAACTATATGTTTAACTCATAGTATTTATTCTAAATTACCTATATTTATTTCTATATATTTATTCTATAAATAAGTTAAACAAAAAAAGAAGAAAATTATCAATCAACATTTTATTGTGGATAATTTCTTATTTATCAATCAAGTGGCTATCTAAGATTCATGTAACCTATATAATTTTATGAACAAGTCACACCCAACTGAGTAAACGTGGAAAATAAGACAAATTAATTACATGTGTTAAATAAGTTTGTTTACATGGAAAATATGAAAAAGTGATAAATAGTATATTACAAAATTATAATATATAATTTATTTCAATACATGAGCTAACTCCATATCATATATTCATATATTTTATTAAAAATATAAAATTTAAGATTAATAAAAAGAGATAAATAAAAATTGATCAATATTTAATTTATTAAGAAAATTATCACTAATAAGAACTTCAATATTAATAAGGAAATATTAATTAAATTATCAAAAATATTAATTAAGAAAATATAAAAAAATTATTAATTAAATATTAATTAAATAAGTTATAAAAAATATATATCTCATTCATTATTTGTTCTTTTGAAGTTTATCCATTAAATGTCCTTTTTGCATTAAATATGCATGTATGGCAGCGTTTTAATTTGTTTACCTGCTTGTTGCTGCTTAAATCCTTTTTTCCAGGTGATGATGGCTTCATATCATCATTCTCTCGATCTGGTCTTTTCTCTTCTACCTGAAATAACATGCAACAAATTAAGGAAACAAAACTTAATATTTTGCATATGGCATAACTAAATGAAAAAAAAAAAGAGTAAAATTATGATGATCTTTAACATATAATCAGAGGAGTTAAATTGAGCTAAAACTCAGTTGAAAATCTTGGGAAGAAAATGGCAAGATGAGATGAAGAGCCATGAAACTAATCTACACCTCAGGAGCTGCAACCTCTTCCCTTCTACCAGCAACTTCTTCATCCCCAGAAGAATCAGCTCTCTTCTCTTTCTTCATGACTGCATCTCCTTGATCAGATATTTGCATCAAATTCTCCTCCATACAGCTTTGTTTTTTGCTTTTTCTTTTTCTCTTGCAATAAATTCTCTGAAAAAAACCAAGTTTCCTCTTCTTTTATAGAGGGGCTGCTTTATTTGACTCCTTTTGTAATTTTTTTTTTTCATAAATCATATTACACACTCAAATAAATACTATGTCAACAAAACCCCACCCACTTGCATATTAAACAAAAAAGAAAGCAACAAAAAAAAAAGTAGAAGAATTCAATTTCAACTGTTTAGATAAAATGTCGTAGGCAAAGAATGAAATCAAAAGAGAGAGAAAGAGAGGGTTTGATCGCCGCAAGGCCCGCTCCCCACCTAATGTCAAATATTCAACCAATTCGTTGAAGTTTCTTACATTACAAAAGTCAGATGGGGATTGGTTGATGGTCAAAGTTTTTAGCCAAAGTCCTAATTATTGTTTTCGTTACCTCCGGTGACCGGGGCTTTGTTTTTTTCCAAGAGTTGGTGCTTTTAGGGTTTTAAATGGTGGTAATGGGATTGAGGTCAAACATGGGATAAAGCGACTTTCTTCTTTGTCTATGCAGTTGACCTTTTTAACGTACTACAAAGAAATTCAATTATAGTGTGTTAAATGTGAATCTAGCTGGTGCCTTTTCATACTATCTCATTCTCATTATATATTGTTGATGTATTTTCTGGTTTGGTGACTAAAATTCGTTGGAAATTTGGCTCGATGGCTGTCTTGGAAGTTGGAGTAACATGTCACAGAGTGAACGGCTCGAGGGCGTCAAAGATGCTATTTTGGCCGCACTATAATACTCAGAAATTACAACAAATTACATGAGGTAAGGCAAGAAAATGAAGTAGTGGGTAGAGAGGAGAAGGAATAGGTTGGATAAGGTAAAAAGAGAGTAAAATGTCCAGAATGAATGACCTATGGTCCAATTTTACCTTATAATGAATTTGTACAATGTTGGATTACTTGATGTTAGTTAAATGTTAAAGTAATTCAAATAATCGTTAATATGACGATCAACAGATGTTAATTTATTAATCAAAATGTTGATCGAATAACCATGATATAATATATATTTTATAATTTTGATTTGTACAATGTAAGACATTGTATATTTTTTATGATACATTCCTAATTAAAAAAAAATTCTAATATATTAGGTGTGAATTGATCCAAGTACAATTATTGTTTTTTTTTTTTTTTGGTTGAAAAGGGTATTTTGTTTTTTTGAAACTATAACTTGGTCGGTCAAATTACTATTCATCTTTTTACCAATTTTTTGATGAGTTTCTTAATTAAGAGTTTGATGAGGAGAGAAATTAGGGGAGGAGTTTGCAAGAAATGGCACAGTGTCAAAGAATTTAATGTCTTAATTAAGAGTAAGGGAAGCACGGCAGCGCCATCAAAGCAACAAATTAATTTATGTACCCTTTGCAGTGATCATTTCAACTTTTTCTTCTGCATTCATGTTTATGTTTTCCCCCCATGATTTTGAAAAACAAGAAGGAAAGATAGGTTGACGTTGCATAAAAGGAAACTATAATAATACAAGGGCTAAACAGTCATAATTTTTTGGCACAAGACAATGTCAGAATATGGTTAACTTGTTCCAAAAAACCATCTTTTAGACATAATTTTTGTTAACGGGTGTTTACCGTAATGTTTAAGCATAATTAAAATATTATTTAAAAAATTTATATTTAATATATTATTTTCATAAAATTTAGAAAAAAATTAATAATTTTTTTTCCTTAAATATCATCTTAACCAGTATCATCAGACACCAGTTAATATTTCCCTATATATATGTTCTCGAATATTCTGACTATGCCTTTTACAACGTGCAACATTATGGATATGGTGCAAGCCAATAAGATAGGGAGCTTTATATTTTATTTTTTAAGTCTTTATATATATTTTTTTCTCAAGGGAAGGCTCAAAATTAAGATGATTAAAATACTAAAAAAAATTTTTGAATTATTTTATTTTTTAAGTAAGTCTTTATATTTTTATTATACTTAAAAATTGATTTATGTTAAAAGTTTATTTAAATACAAATTAAAAGTTAAGAATTCATTTGAATAAAAATTAAAACTTAAGAGCTTATTCAAATATAAATTAAAGATAAAAGACTTATTTAAATGTAATCAAAGTATATAAATTTATTTAAATAAAATGATAAAATTTAGAAATTTTCTTTTATTATTTTAACTAATTAAGAAATAAAATCCTGGACGCAAGTTCTCCGTTCATTGATTACAATATCATACAGCCAATTAATTAACTTCTAAGCACGAGGAAATCAATTGCAATACCAACCTCGGGATCAAAATCGTTGACCTCTAATAATTGCTTTGGATCGATCAATTCTCAGTATCCTATTGGCTATCTGAGTTTGAGTAAAGGTTTCGGTAATTTTTTTTTTCTTTTCGAGCACAGATATAATTAGATTAATTTTAGTTTAAAGGAGATATATATATGTCACCCATATAATATGTATAGTACTTAGTCATATAAATGCAGGTCAGGATAATTAATTTAAAATATTTTATTTCTTTAATTTCCATATCATTAATAATTATAGATCCTTTAAGACTTTTTTTTTTTAATGAGACTTTTATGCAAGAAAAAATTAAAAAGATGCTGTTCTCAAGTTGTGATGTAAGTTATATAATATATAACAATTATTAGCTTGAAAAATGTGATCCAAACCAAATTATTTGAACAAGAAATATATAAATTAATATATATATTGATGAGTCAAATGTTGGGCTGCTTATGTACGCATACACCTCATTGTCATTCAAAATATATAGTATTAATGGATTTTTATACTCTTTGAATACTCCCTCTATCTCTCTCATCCTTTTTTTTAACCTTTCTCTCCCAATATTGTAATCAATCAGATGACTTTGCTTAAATCTTATAAGCAATGTTATTCAAAATCATAGAATTTTTAAAAGGATGGACACAATTTTGTAGGATATGTCATATATATTATGCAGATTAACCATCTTATGATTTAACTTTTAACCATGGATGAGATTAGCAAAATCATTTTGTTGATGACAATGAATTTATATATATATACATATATATACATGTATATATATATGTATAAAACAAGAACAATGAAATAAATTCAAGAACTTCAATGAATTGATATTATAATAAGATTATTAATCATCTTTGAAAACAAAAGTTCATTTTTAAAATTAATTTTATAGACTTAATTATAAATTTGAAGGTACAGAAGTAAGTCATTTTTATAAAATATATAGAGCTATCTGGGATGGATATATACAAATCCTCAAATTGCCTTTGAACACTTTAAAAATTTGATAGTTGATACATTTTACATACAATTAATTCCACGTTTTCTTTAAAGGTCCCATTTCAGATCTGATTGACTCATTGATTTAAGACTAATTTGTTAACTAAATTTGCATGAAACCCTCTTTATATAATATATACAAATTCTCACTTAATTAAAATTTTATGTAAAAAATATAGACCAAAGGGAAAAAAATATAAAAGAAAAAACGTACATGAATACATGTTAGATGCACAAAACCTCTTATTGTTGGTGAATACTATAATGGAACAGCAATAAAGCTATATCTTCCTTTTGAAAAAGGCTTACCAAGACAAAAGGAAGATTTTTCAAAAAAATGTATTTAACTCAAATGTAGTCAAGTGAGTCAAGTACATAAGAGTTGGAGTTTAAAAGATAGATTAGGAATTAAAAATAATCAATGGTTAAAACATTAATTGAATGTCAAAAGAATAAGGTTCAAATCCTACCTTATACAATTTGTTGAAAAAATAAAGTGATTTATATCAAGTAGAACGTGACAAGTAAGATTAACCATATATATAGTTAATATCAATTATATAAAGATTCTAATTTAATAGTTAAGGTAATTTAATGCCTTCAGTTTTTTTTAAAAAAAATTTAAAACACTTTGATTTTTTTTTGCATGAAATGTAATCCATTTTTAAAATGTCTTTTTCTAGTCTCAATATATGCCTCAAGGTTGAGGTAGAAAAATAAATAAATTTTATTCATATTCATCTACTTTTTGTTAGAAGTGGCTAAGTTGATCTGAGCTCGAAAATTTGTCTATACATATCCATGACTAAACTCGGATCAACCTTAAGTGATCAAAAATATCAAAGACTAAAATCTAGAAAAATTTGATCCGAAAAAAATTCGAATCCAAAAAAATCTAAATTAAAAAAAATCCGAATCCAAAAAATCTCAAAACTGATACAATTTGAATTCGTCAAATCCGAATTCATAATAATCCAAACTCAAAGTCGATTTGATATAAAATCCACAAAAATCAAACTATAACTTGAGAAAATTGAAACTATAATTGTATGATTCTTTAAATAAAAAAAATAATAAATATTTTTCTTAATTAAAAATGTTATTATTGATAATTATTAAATAATTATATCATAATAATCAACAAAATTAATGTTAAATTTTTAATTTTGATTATAAAATATCAAAGACTAAAATCTAGAAAAATTTGATCCGAAAAAAATTCGAATCCAAAAAATTCTGAATTCAAAAAAATCCGAATCCTAAAAAACTCAAAATTGATACAATTTGAATCCGTCAAATCGAAATTCATAATAATCCAAACTCGAAGTCGATTTGATATAAAATCCACAAAAATCAAACTATAACTTGAGAAAATTGAAACTATAATTATATGATTCTTTAAATAAAAAAATAATAAATATTTTTCTTAATTAAAAATGTTAAATTTTAAAAATGTTATTATTGATAATTATTAAATAATTATATCAATAATAATCAACAAAATTAATGTTAAATTTTTAATTTTGATTATAAAATAAATTTAATTTGAAACACACAAATATTAATATTTTAATGATTTTTAATAGTATCATCTCATTATATTTACAATAATTATCAATATAAACAAAAATAATATCTAATGATTTTTTTTTCATATGCCGCCAATTCTTTTAGTTAATTTTTTATAATTTTTATAATTTTATTTTAATATTAGATAAAAAAGAAATTTAATTTAATTTAATTAATTTATTAATAACTATTATAATTAAAATTAAAGTGAGAATATAATTAATTTATATTGATAATAAATTAAAATATAACTTAAAAGTGTACTATACTAGTAATAATTTTAATAAAATTCATTTTTATATTTTATTGATATTAAAATTAATTATATTTAAGTAACTACATTTGTTGACTTTAGGTTATTAGCATTATATTAATTAATTTAATAATATCTGCTCTTCAATATTCTAATTGAACATTTGGTCAATTGGTATATATCCAATATTATTATATTTATGTAAATGTTAATGTTAAAATAAAATAAAATTCTTTTTAATAATGTCTATATATTATTCAACTATGTGAAATTTGAATATTTTAACT